CGACCAACCTGATCGTCATGGACAAACCCCAGGTGTGTAACTCTGTGCCAATAAATCCTATTCTCGAGTATGTTCCAGCAGAGGTTCAAGAGAGTGATGAAGTTTCTCCTCCGGTTCTCGTGACCACCCGTGCACAAGCCGCACGTCCACAGCCAGCTGACGCTACTGCTACCGCTGTCCCTCAAGACCCTCAGAAACTACCCCCGCATCTGACCAAGTTGGAGTTCCGTAAGTTGCAGAGGGAAGATCTTACTTTAACACCATTGTTTTTCCAGGCTGAGACTCAACCTGACAGTATTCCTGGGTTCTTCCTAGAGAACGACTTGCTCTACCGCAGATATAGACCCAGTAAACTGAAGGAGGAGGACGATTGGGCCAACACCGAACAACTTGTGATTCCCACCAGCCTGCGGCCCACTATTCTACACCTGGCCCACGGAGCATTCTCCCACTACGGCTTCAACAAGACTTACCATGGGATTCGTCAAGACTACTACTGGCCAGGTATGGTAAACAACGTCAAACAGTACGTAAAACAGTGTCATACATGTCAGATGGCAGGCAAACCGAACGTCTCCATTCCCAGAGCACCACTGATTCCCATACAGGTGCCTGCGGAACCTTTCCACAGACTCATAATAGACTGTGTTGGTCCTTTACCTCGGACCAGTTCAGGTAACGCCTACATCCTAACCATCCTGTGTCCTACCACCAGATTTCCCATAGCAGTTCCAGTGAAGAACATCACGGCTGCTACGGTTATCAAACATCTACTGAAGATCTTCACTCAATACGGATTTCCCAGGGAGATTCAAAGTGACTGTGGCACCAACTTCACCAGTGATCTCTTCAAAAGGACACTGGAGGAGTTCAACATCAAACAGGTATTGTCCAGCCCCTATCATCCTGCTTCACAGGGTTCTCTTGAACGTAGTCATCAGACCATCAAAGCACTCTTGAAAAAGTTTTGTAGTGAAACCTCAAAGGATTGGGATAAGCAGATTGACCTAATAATGTGTATTTTCAGAAGTCTCCCCAATGAGTCCCTAGGAGTATCTCCTTATGAGATGCTCTACGGCCGTAAGTGCCGTACTCCCCTTAAGGCTTTCAAAGACTCTCTCAGAGATGCCACCTTCAGTGAGCATCAGAATGTGCCCCAGTTTCTTCAAAACCTTCAGCACATTCTAGAGAGAGTCCACCGCTTTGCCCATGATAATCTATTGAAAGCCCAGGTGAGAATGAAGACTCATTACGACCAGACCAGCAAAGTAAGAAAATTCAAGCCGGGAGACTTCGTCCTTGCTTATTTCCCTATCCCAGGTTCACCTTTACAAAACAGATTTTCAGGACCCTACTGCGTCAAAGAGTGCAGGAATAATAATAATTATGTGATAGAGACTCCTGATAGGCGGCGGAAGACCCAGCTGTGCCACGTCAACCTCCTGAAGCAATATAATGGTACTCCTCCCACTGTCTTGACTAATTATTCCACATTCACAGAACCCTACATCCACAGTGAGACCTTCCCAGCTTCTCCTCCCGAAAGCACTGACAAGGAGTCAGCGCTTTCTAATTCCGAAATCCTTAATGATCTTCCCAAATACTTTCAGGATAATCATAGTGCACCTCTCGTCAAGATCTTCAGAGAACATCAAGAGTTGTTCAGAGATGATCCCCAAGAGTGTAATGTTACCCAGCACGACATCCAACTGCTCCCCGACACCCGGCCGATTCGTCAACCCTTCTACCGAATCAGCCCGAGCAAGAAGGAAGTCATGCGTGCTGAGGTGCAATACCTCTTGGATCATGGACTGGCTACACCTTGTGAGTCCCCCTGGGCCTCACCCTGTATCTTGGTGCCCAAACCCCAAGGTAAGGTGCGGTTGTGCACCGACTATCGTAAACTGAACTCTGTCACTGTCAAGGATGCTTACCCCTTGCCAAGGATAGATGACATCCTTGATGCCATTGGTAGTGCCCAGTACTTGTCCCAAGTGGACTTGCTTAAGGGGTACTATCAAGTGTGTCTAACGGAGCGCGCTAAAGAGATATCTGCCTTCATCACTCCTTTTGGACTTTTCAGATATGAACGCCTTCCTTTCGGACTATGTAATGCCCCGGCCACCTTTCAAAGAGCTGTCAACCGTGTCATCCAGGGCTTGGATAACACATACGCCTACCTGGACGATATCGTCGTAGCCTCCAACTCCTGGAGTGAACATCTGCTCCAGCTGCGACGTCTGTTCTCCAAGCTCCTGACAGCCGGCCTCACCATCAACCTGGGCAAGTCCACTTTCGCGAAAGGTAAAGTGCGTTATCTGGGTCATGTTATAGGGAGTGGCAGCATAGCTCCGTTAGACTCACACACTCAAGCCATCCTACAGTATCCACAGCCTACCACCAGGAAGCAGCTCCTGCGCTTCCTTGGTCTTGCCTCTTACTACCGTAGGTTTGTGAGGAATTTCAGTACAGTCGCCACACCTCTAATTCTATTAACCAGTCCCAAGCAACGGTATAATTGGACCATGCAGCAAACCGTTGCTTTCGAACAACTCAAATTCCTCCTCTGTTCTAACCCCATTCTCGCCTCTCCAGATATCACCAAGCCTTTCGTCCTTCATGTCGACGCCAGTGGTACCGGCGTTGGTGGTGTCTTGATGCAACTACGAGGCGAGGAGGTTCTACCTGTCAGCTACTACAGCTACAAACTGAAACCACACCAGAGGAACTACAGCACTATTGAAAAGGAGCTACTATCCATCGTCCTGAACCTCCAACACTTCGCTCCGTACCTACAAGGCGCCAGGTCTACCACCATCTTCTCAGACCACAACCCTCTCCGCTTCCTACATCAAGCCCAATTCACCAACCAGCGTCTTCTACGATGGGCTCTGTATTTACAAGACTTCAACCTGGAGATCCGCTATATCAAGGGTTCTGACAACACCATAGCCGATGCCCTCTCCAGAGTTTATGAAGTAGAAGCGACTCCATCCATTACTCCACCACATAACGACGTACTTCTTCCAGAACCGCAGGCTTCGGGGGAGAGTTGTGACGATAATCTCCTTCAAGAGATTGAGCCTGCTCTTCCCTCCAAAATTACGTCTTCACAATTATATAAAAAGACTATGGAAGAAATGTCCAACAACGACAAAAACACCAGCACCAGCAAGGCTTGCCAGGGTGAGCAGAAACGTATGCAACCAGCCACCTGTTCGAACTCCAACCACCAAACTACCCGTTGATCGCTACGGCTCCGCTGATTGGTCGCCGGTCTGGCTGCACCTGCACTCGCCCCAATACTACCTGATGTCTGGGGTCGCCCCAACATCAGTCCTCAGAATGTTCCGTGCTTTCGTAGCCAGCACTCCTCCCAGCTAGACTCTAGAGTGTACTGAGAGAGGTGGTGGCTTTAAGCCAATATTCCAGCACCTCCCACTTAACTTTTGTGTTGCACTTCTTGTTATTTTGCCTTAACGTAACTTTTCATTTTGTCATTTAAGTATTCTTATTATTTTGATTCATTGATTTATTATAAGAATTTGTTTGTGCATTATTTTCATGTTTGATTTATTTAACGTAATTAAAATTTCATTGTTAAAGTTTACTTGTGTTTTGTGTGTCTTCTCCTTACCTTACCACAGACGAAGTTCCAGTTTTTTCTATTTTTTTTTTTTTATAACTATGTGACGAGGCCATACCCCTAGCCTTAAACAGCCGAACACCAACGCGTTACCGTCACATCTGTCATGGACATTTGGAAAGATTGCTGTTGCACCAGTGTGGAATGTTGATGTGCTATGTGTGACATTTCTGAGACCAGCAAGATCTTTCCTAGAGAAGCAACCAAGTAGGATAGGCTTGAATAAACTTGCTAAACTATCATTTATTATTAATAAAGAAGTATTTAATGTATTTTCGATGACTGAGGAAACTTTTTTTTCTTTTAAAAGCACTTTTGTCTGCCCAACCGAGCTGATTGCCTTCAGTGAGCATGTTGCAGCGTTCAGAACACTGGACTGCGAGGTGTTAGGAGTGTCCACAGACTCCCACTTTTCCCACCTGGCGTGGGATAATATGCCAAGGAAGGTTCGTATTGGGTTGTACATGTTGAAATGTATGGCTCTAAAAGTCTTGTCATAATGTGTATTTATCATAGTGAGTTTTCTCATGTTGCAAATTCTGTACTTGCATATCAACTTTATAAGAATTGCAATGAATTGATGATAGTTTTCAGTGCACCTTGTCTCCCCCATCTGTTGATAACTATTATTCTCAGGTTTTTTCATCTTTTAACACATTTAAGGGTTATCACAACACATGTTAATTTGTTAAATATTGTTAACATCCATTAGTTACAATAATGAACATGCACATCAGTTTTAAAATGAGGCCTTCTGTATTGCCAATTACAATACTGATTTATCAGTGTTAGTTATCTGCTTATCTGACTTGTGCTGGAGCTGACTTGTGCAGTTATCCATAACTTCTATTATCCTATAAGTACAGGTACTGTACTAAAGCTGAATGGTCACAATAACTTTACTCAGCACTGCTCTATTTCTTTTAACACCATATACAAATTGTGCAATTAATTTCTTTCCATTTCATTATCTAAAGTATTTTCTGTAATATTTTTTTTTGTTCTCCATAGGCCTTGTTATGACAAATACAATTACATAGATCAGTTGTTCAAGCCTTTATTTTTTCCATTTATATAATCTATTCACAACTAACTTCACTGCCAGAGATGCTCTTGAAATGTCTTGCTTGTCATTAAATGAGCATCTATGGTATTTAAGCTAGAATTTCTCAACTGGTAATGATTTTATTACAGTGTGGCCAAATTTGTGTGATGTTATAGCATGTAATGCTGTTACTCATTAATTATTCTTTTAAGTTATTTCCAGTTGGTAAATTGTCTAGTTCTGTCTCTTGCTATAGCTTCTATGATATATGTATACTGTATATATAATAGTTATATATATTTTTCACAGCAAGGTGGACTAGGAGGACTCAAATATCCCCTCTTATCCGATTTTAATAAAAACATTTCGCGTGATTATGGAGTGTTGCTTGAAGATGAGGGCGTTGCACTGCGTGGTCTATTTTTGATTGACCCCGAAGGTGTAGTCAGGCATATGAGTATCAACGATCTCCCCGTCGGCCGCTCTGTTGAAGAAACACTTAGACTGCTCAAGGCATTCAAGTTTGTTGCAGAGCATGGAGAAGGTGAGATGTGAACGAGTTGCATTTCTCAGTGAAGTCTTGTTTTATTTTGGGTTAGAATTTTATGAGGATTGGACATGACTGATCTGATCAGTCTGCTATTTTACATTCTAGCAATTGCATTTTTTAAATAGAGCATCATAAATACCCCAGATATTAAATATTGCCCTAAAGTTTACTATAATAATGATTTTAATGAATACTCAGTATACATGTAATGTAACTTACTTCATAATTCTATGATAATTCTATGAATTCATATTCTATCTTCATAATCTAATTCTACATGTAATACTTCATAATTCTATCTTCCTAATGAAGAGGATATTTTATTTGTCTGACTACTTGAGATGGTGTATTACATTTAATTTGAGGGTAGAAAGGTCAAGAATGCAAGGAGACATTGCGTGTGAGAGACAGTCTAATTGTACTGTTTCTTCCATGTGGTGACTAGGCACATGAAGGTTTCTCTTTTCCAACTGCTGGTTTTTTCTTTGCTCTAATTTCTTCCTATTTCATGGAAGTGGGTTTATGATGTGTACAAGCCAAAATTCTTCTTATTAGTTACCTGTGGACTGAAATGGTGTGACAGTGAAGGTTAGTCTTAAAATTGCAGGAAAGATTCTTGGAATTATATTTGGTGACTGAAGAAACCTAAATGGGTTCTGGTTTGTTGGTGAGATACAAAAATTGTACTAGATTTTCAACAATTGGCTTCAATGAATGTACAGTAGTTTGGGTTGAAACTTTTGTTTGTTTAATTGATAGTGCAAAGAATTAAAACTATAAATCTTTTAGGTCTTACAAGTACACAAATTTCAGTACAGTACATATGGGAGGGGTAAGGGATTCGGTATATATTTTTTTATACTATAGTGTCGGCTCCTGTAGTTAAGTGAACCTAGGTTTATTTCATCACTGGCACTTTGAATGATAACTGATGCTTTGCCAATTACAACATGCTGAGGGATACAGAATGTGTCAGGTTCACATTTTTGACAGGCATGATAATGACTTGTTTGAGGACAGTGAGATTAAAAATTACTTTGAAATTCAGATGGATTATTGCAGATCGGTTTCTGGTAAGATTGGAAATGAAGCGGTTTGAAAGGGTCGAGTTGCAAATGTTGAAAGTAAAGCTTACTATTTACCTATTATTACTTACTATTTCTGTAAGAGTGATAGTTTATGGTTGTGAAACTAGTTTGTTCATGTCCATACAGTCAGTCTTAAGTGCATAAATTCAGAACTTGTAAGAAAAATTGGGAAAATATTTTTTAAAAGCTGCTTAGGGTAAAACTCTGAAAATAACAATTATGTGTTTATGGAGTGTAGTGAATTGTTTTAAGAAGAGCTGAACGATGGCTCCCTGTTGCTAGCTGCACCAACATGGACACCTCTGCAAGTCACATCAGCCCTCGAATCCTTAAAATCCTATTGGAGGCAAAAACCTGACCCTCACAGAGATGCAGGGAGCAGGAAATTCATGATCGCCCGTCACCAAAGAAACAACCCCCCCAGGAAGGAAGTAGAGCAAAATGGACAACTGCAAGGTTTAGAGTAAACAAAAATGCAACAAACATGGCACAATTAAGTTCGTAGTTGGGTCATCAACCCCCCCCCCCCCCCCCCCCTTCAATTAGAGCTGGCCACCACAAGGTGGCACCACCATGGAAAGGGCTTTCCATGTCAACAACCAACAGTTCTTTTGATGTTGGAATTGTCTGCTCTAGGAGTTGCTGGCTCTTTGTGTCCCAGATTTTCTAGATAAGTTTTCACCATCCTTTGTACTCTGACCTTTTGGCAAGTATCCCTAGTGCCCGGGTATCTTGCTTGGCCTTTTTACTTCAGGTCCTGGTTAGCCTTGCAGGTTTTAGTGTGGTTCATTATTAATGAACTCATATCCATTTGGTTTTGCTACATGGCCATTTGTACTGTCTGCTATTCCACTTATTGCACAGAAATTGCCCTCTACCACCTCTTCTGTGGGGGTGGGTGTTTTTTTCTGTTTTAAATTGGTGTAACTCGTTATCCTAATAAAACATCATATTTTGATGTATACTATACCCAAGGCCAAAAATTGTCATTCTAGAAAATGGTAGAGGCTTGCAAAATAGACATTGCCCTGCTTTCTGTTTACGGTCCTGTGGTAGGTTAGGTTAAGGACACTTCAGTACAACAGTTTCTTGATGCTGGAAAACCTTGAGGACAGGCTGAAGGATTGCCTTGAAGTAGGATCTTTTTGGTATTTAGGAAGTTGTAGCTGCTGGTGAATAATGCTGGTTCTATTTTCATGTCATTTCCTTCCACTGACTGATTTTGTTCAACGAAACTCTTGTTCAACCCTTTTATCTCCCTCACCATGGCCATTTTTGCTCTGGTACTTCTGAGGGTTGAGTCCAGGCTGCAATTATGTGGGTGTAACAATCCCCTTGTAGAGGAATTGCCCCTTCTTAAGGCAGTAGTTGGGGACAGTTAAGCTGTTGCTTCCCACCGGGAATCTGTAACTTTGTTTTTAGACAAATGATCTTTATGCTTACATTTTTTTTTTGAAGATTGGGGGGTGGGGGGAGGGAACATCCATCATTGTTAGAGTTCAGTTCCTTCACTGCAACCCTCCCTGGGGGTAAAGTAGGGTCCAGTAGGGTCTGGTTGGGAGTAGAGTAAACAAAATGCAACAAACATGGCACAATTAAGTAGTTGGGTCATCAACCAGCGGCCCCCCCCCTCCCCCTTCAGTTAGAGCTGGCCACCACAAGGTGGCACCACCATGGAAATGGCCAGCTTCCCATGTCAACAACCAACAGTCCTTTTGATGTTGGAATTGTTTGCTCTAGAAGTTGCTGGCTCTTTGTGTCCCAGATTTTCTAGATAAGTGTTCACCATCCTTTGTACTCTGACCTTTTGGCAAGTATCCTTCAACCACTTCTCCCTGGAAACAATGGGTAAGCATAATAAAATACTATATAAAGTTTACACTTTGGTGAATCACAGTTGATGACAGGGAAGAATCTGCCTCACCCCACATAGTTCAAGTGAGGACACACTGTACTGGGTGAATTGTATGCCATCATTTACTTTACTGTAAACTTTCTATGAACCCTTTAACAGTTGGTTTTGCTTCACTTTTTGTTCTCAACTTAGGGTGATCATAAATCTAATGCTCCCTGCCTATGTGAGCGAGCCAAGTTTTGGCCTCGGGGTCTCTAGTAGGCTTTTAAGGATTTGCAAGGACTGGTGTGACTTGGCACCACAACTATCTCAGTTCATCTAGCTACAGGGAGCTGCTGATGGGTTCAACATTGGGTAACTAATGACTAGCTAACAATGACTTCTGTCAGGTTATTCTGTACTTGACCTTGAAGCCATTTTTGTGTGTGTGTGTGTGTGTGGTTAGGTATAAATTTTGAGGATGGTTCATATTTGGAAAACAAAGATAAAGATAAAAATAGATCTTAATATATTATTATGTTGCAGTTTGCCCAGCCAACTGGCAGCCGGAGTCGCCAACTATTAAGCCTGATCCAGCTGGTTCCCTGGAGTATTTTGGGAAAGTACATAAATAGAAAACTTGCCAAAACCATACATTGCCAAGATGTATGGTGTGATTGTTGTTGATTCTGCTATTGATCAGATACCATCAATTCTCATCAGTGAGAATTGTTGGTATGGTTTAGAATGAAGCATTTGTTCATGGGGAAAAATTTAAGCTTTTCTGTGGGGAAGCATTTCTATGAAATGTGGATGTGGTATATCTATTGACTTTTGTCCAGAAGTGCCATGTATCTTTACTTAACATAGTCTGTTGCCATTTTGGAGATTAACAAGAACATGCCCACATCTATGTAGGGTACACTGTCATAAGTTAGATCAGTGGTTATGTAATCATCCCTAAGCCATTGTAATTTTTCATATACCTGTGCAGATTTTTACAAGAATGCTAGAAGATCGGCACTTTAAATTAAATCCACTGCTGTGATAGATTGTGCTGCTGGTAGATAATCAAATGAAATCCTAATGCCTACATTAGTATTTTGTATGAATAAACACATCAATTTTCTTTAATTTGTTACTTGTATATAATACATCTTTTATTCAGATGGTAGACTTATAAGTTGATGTTATTTTCTGCTAGCATCACAGTATTGTACTTTGGTGACCCGAAGCAATGGTAAGTAAAGGGGGTGTGAGCAGCAAAAGGTGTTTATATACCATACTCTGATGGTTAGTAATACCAGGAAGAAATGAGATGGCTTCCATGATAATGAATATATAGATGCTAAAATAAAATTGTTTTTCTTAAAGTTATTTGTCTTTAACCTTTAGCCGAGATTAGCCCTTAAGCTGCGCATGGCGAACATATGCGACGTAGGGGGCTGGCCATGATTCAAATGGCTCTCGGTATAAAGGGATCACCCATATCGTAGCCAGGGGTGATTGTAAACAGACACCCTCTTGAAAAAAATCTAGTGCAGGCCTCCTTTGTCTCGCAGGCCTAGGTTGCCAACCAGTCACAATGGCAAGTATATCACGACGAAGCATCCGACCTGCACACCGCGTCGTGCAGTCACTGACCAGTGTCTTTTGTAAATAATGCAGATGAGAGATAGGATGATAGGCTTTAAGAGTGAGGCACATGCTAAATGACTTTATTGGAAAGTTCAGAGATTTCTACGTACCAGCTCAGAAGCTGATTTTGATGAATCCCTTGTGCTTTTCAAAGGGCGTGCTGCCTCCAAGCAGTATATTCCCTCAAAATGCCACCAATTTGGATGGAAATTCTTTGTGCTCTGTGATTGTGAATCTGGAAAGGTGTTACACATGATACTGTATTCAGCTACAAATGTAGACATTTCTGGTAATGACCAACATGGCTTCTTGGGTAGTGTGATGAAGGCACTGCTTGCATCATATCTGAACAAGTGCCACATATTGTACATATAACTATTTAAAAGTCCCTTGCTAACCAGGTTCTTGCTTGGTAACAGAACTGAGGTGTGTGGCACAGTAAAGCCAAAGCAAAGGGAAATGAATGTTTGATACTGCTATGCAAGTAGGTGATTGCAAGGTAAAAAAAAAAAAAAAGTGGTGGAATTCTTTGTCGGGTGAAAAGACAGATATGAAGTGAATGTGTTGGCCACCATTCACCCTGGTACAATGGTGGACAGTGGCAAGGTGAACAGAACCTCAAAACAAATAATCTATAAGCCAGGTTGTGTGATGTACTAAAAGATCAACATGCGTTTAGTCGATAAGTGACATGATGGTGGGTGCCGTAGTGTGTGTACGGAAAATGTCAAAGTGGACCAAGATGATGATTTTCCACCTTGTTGACGTAACAATGCTGAATACTGTAGTTACAACATGTATCTTGTGAAAATGGGTAGAAAATAACGTTTCTCTTCATTTAGTTTGCAAGTTGTGAAACAATTACTGGGTAAGTTTGGCAAAGAGACCCCTGGCATATAAAGACTCGTTCGGGACCCAATATTACATCATGCTCCCACACCCAGGCTCGCTTACAGGAAGGCCTTTCTGGTACGCCAAATAAAGAAATTACCACCAACTGGATTGCGTGCAGTAGGCCAGCAACTGTGCACTGTGTAACACCACACAAATGAGGCCACAGAAACGTAAATTGGCATTAACATGGTGCGAAGCGTGTGCAGTCCCTCTATGCCAAGTCGACTGTTTCGCACAATATCGGTCTCCAGGACTACTAAATGTCCAATACAGTATTTGTGTAAAAACATGTACATATCAAGTGAATGAGTGTATTGAAACAAAAAAATACATTAAATATTTCCTGTAAAATAAAACATTTTGGTGTGCATACTTGTGATGCTAATATGAGTGCATAGTGAATTTATAGCAGTTGTATTATAGTACAACATAGTGACAATACTGTAATTGGAACAAGACTAGTGAATTTTTTTTTTTTTTTTTGTAAAATGTGCCATAGATACTGTAAATGCTACAAAAATAAATTCGCAGCAACTCGGGCCTCTTGAATGCTGCGCGCTGGTTCCCTGACTCCCTTGAGTGGTCATTGTTCTGTGGCGTCATCAGCGAACTTGTCGGCTCATTTATGTCATTGGTAAGTACAATAGAATTTTTTTTATAATTTTTCCCGTGCTCGGGGAACAAATGAACATTTTTAGAAGATGAACAAAAATTTAGAATTTTTGTTTTTCTTGCACATGGGGGTGTTGAAGTCTTAAGGACCCCATAGCAGTTTAAGGAGTTAATACAGTATGCAAAAATTAGCTAGGCTTGAAGTGCCAGTTTCATTCTCATGACCCAAGATGTACAAAAGCATAGTTTCTAATTTCTAATACTGTACTAAATTCTTATAATTTGATTTTTTTCTCTCCAAAAATGTTATATACTGTTAAATTTGCTACAAAAAATGCCTTCATAATGGGAGATAGGTTTGAGGGCACTTGCCTCCTTCCAGAGACCACATTCCTTTGCCTGGTTTCTAGTGTGTTCTGTCATTTGGCAGCTTCAGCTCTCATTAAGAACTTAACTTCGGCAGATTAGCCAATTCCATGCATGTGTGTAGTATACCCCTGAGCCATGAGAGGTAAACAGGTGAATTGAATTCACCTGCTTGGAAACCATTGTGTGGTTTCTGTCACCAAATGTCTGCCAGGTGGCAGACATTTGGAAGGTGGCTGCTTTGTGGATTACTTTTCACATTTTTTTTTTTAAGAGTTCAGTTAAGAGTGTACCTTGGAAATATGGATTTGAATAGATGTGAGAAAGTATCTTTCTGAACAAGAACCAGTTCTCTCCCTCTTTACCACTTTTATTTGCTGCCTTTTCAGTCCCATTACAAAGAATGGGGGAATTCATTCAGGTTCATTGAGGTTACCTTGAGATGGTTTCTGGGCTTTGCTTCCCCACAGCCCGGTCCTTGACCAGGCCTCCTCATTGTTGGACTGGTCAACCAGGCTGTTGGACTCAGCTGCTCGCAGCCTGACATATGAATTACAGCCTGGTTGATCAGGCATCCTTTGGAGGTACTTACCAAGTTCTCTTGAACACTGTGAGGGGTCGGTCAGTTATGCCCCTTGTGTGTAGTGGAAGCGTGTTGAACAGTCTCAGGCCTCTGATGTTGATAGTTCTCTCCGAGTACCTGTTGCACCTCTGCTCTTCAAAGGGGGTATTCTGCACATCCTGCCATGCCTTCTGGTCTCATGTGGTGTTATTTCTGTGTGCAGGTTTGGTACCAGCCCTTCTACTATTTTCCACATGTAAATTATTATGCATCTCTCCCACCTGCGCTGAAGAAAATACAGATTTAGGCATTTTAGTCGGTCCCAATACTAGTTTAGATGTTTTACTGAATGGATTCTAGCAGTAAAGGATCTCTGTATGCTCTCCAGGTCAGCAATTTCTCCAGCTTTGAAAAGGGGCTGTCATTGTGCAACAGTATAGCATCTCTAGTGTGAAAGGTTCTTGTTAACCTACCTGTCATTTTTCTTGGTTATGATGGTTACTTTGTGTTCTTTAAAGGTAAGGTCTTCCAACATGAGTACACACAAATACTTTACATTGCCTTTTTGTTCTGTTATGATTTTACTGTGTTTTGTAAGTGGTTTCCATTTTTATACAGTATTTTCATTTTTTCAGTAGCGCATGAGCTGGAACTTATCTTCGTTAAACACAATGTTATTTTCTGTAGCCCATAGAAAGACCTGATTTACATCTGATTGAAGGTTTGATGTGTCCTCTATGTTGTCTATTCTCATAAAAATTATAGTGCCCTCTGCAAAGGATGATACAGTACTGTAGATTGTGTCCTTGTCTGTCCGATATGAGGATGAGAAAAAGTACTGTAGCAAGCACAGTACCCTGGGGGACTGAGCTCTTCACGGTTGATGGACCAGGTTTTATTTTGTTGACTATTAAACATTGGGTTCTATTAGTCAGGAAATTGTAGATCCATCTGCCTATTTTTCTGGTAATTCCTTTTGAATGCATTTTATGTGCAATAACACCATGGTCACATTTGTCAAAGGCTTTTGCAAAATCTGTGTAAATTACATCAGTGTTTTGTTTGTCTTCTATGGCATTTAAGGCCATGTCATAATGGTCCAGCAACTGTGATAGGCAAGAGCTTCCCTGTTCTGAAACCATGTTGTCCAGGGTTATGGAGATGCTGGGATTCCATGTATTTTGTGATCTTACTTTTTTAGCACTCTTTCAAAGATTTTTATGATGTGTGATGTTAGGGCTATCGGTCTGTAATTTTTTGCCTCTGCCTTATTGCTTCCTTTATGGAGTGATAAGGCAGTGATATCTGCTGTTTTTAGTATGTCAGGGATAACACCAGTATCTAGGCTTTGTCTCCAAAGAATGTGAAGGGCCTGCAACAATGTTTTGTTTACAGTTCTTGATGAATACAGTATAGTTCCAAGAATCAGGGCCTAGTGCAGAGTGCATAGGCATACTGTCTATGGCTTCTTCAAAATCCAGTGGGGATAAGGTGACATCTGATACACCACCACCTCGGCTTATGACAAACTTTTTTAAAAAAACAAACTTTTTGAGTTACGGGCCCAATTTCTTTGGAAAACGAGTTTGTTGATACGCGTATGGGCCGACCTAGCACGTGGTGGCACGACGTTTACCAGTGGCTCCCGCCTATTGAGAATCGCTCCTGAATTCTTTGTAAAGAATTTCAGTGTTTTTTGGATTTTTGGGTATTTGAACATAAAAGTAATTATTATATATCTTGCCATGAGTCCCAAGAAAGTCAGTGGTAAAGTTAAACTTAAGAAAATAGTTGTGAGTAGAGGCAGTAGAGGATGTCCCTTCCTCATTAAGAAAATGTGTGAAGTATGGGAAGAACTGCAAAGTTTTGTTGAAAAAACTCACCCAGATAAAGCTGTAGCAGGCCGTTGCATTGACCTTTTAAATGACAATGTGATGTCTGACTACAGACAAGTGTTAAAATGTAGGGAAAAACAAGTGTCTTTAGACAGGTTCTTAGTAAGACAAGCAAGCAGTGAGCCACAAGCAGGTCCTAGTGGTATGCAGGCAAGATGTGCCAGTGTGTTTCCCAGAGAAGTCATCACTGCCTGATGTTATAATGGAAAGAGACTCCCCTTCCAAACAGTAACACCTCTCCTCCCCCCTCCTCACTGTCTTCCATACGCCAACAGGAGTCATCAGTAAAAGTAAGTAATAACTTGTACATACTTTTGTACTAAAGATTTGGGCATATTAGGTATAAAATTTACTTTGAAGGTAATTTTTTGGGGAGGTTCAACCAAATTAATTCATTTTCCATTATTTCTTATGGGGAAATTCGCTTCAGTTTACAAATTTTAGGGTTACAAGCCTTCTCTTCTCTACCTTGATGGTATGCCACCAAAATATACTATGTAATTTTCATTGTACACTAATTTAGTTAGGACAGTATACTGTACTTAAAATTTTACAAGTGGCAGGCTAAGATGTAATACTTTATGAATGTTACTACAAAATAGTTACTTTTTTCATGTTTATGCAAACTTGTACTAAAAATAAACAAATGTCAAATTCTCTTTTCCATCTGGTGCAGTTTACATACACCAATTGGTGCAGGCAAGTTTATGCAAGGTACATTAACGTAAAATTCTATAATGGAAAAATGAGTGACAATGATTACTAGAAAATTTCCACATGACTGGATAATAAATTTCCAATAGATGGGCAGAAGGCAGACACGATTAGATCTGTACCCTAACCCTTCGAGGCATTAGAGTAAGAAAATGTATAGTAATATAGATTTAATGGAAGGGCAATAATAGAGGCAGAGACTGACAAGTCGGGCAGCCCGAGGTAAACCATTATTCAATGAATACAATACAGTACTTTATTTACAAATATACTATGAAATATTACAACCTAAATGCATAGATTTTAAAACCTTACAAATTTTGCTTTATAAAATAATTGTAAAAAAAACATTCTCCAATGAATGGAGAAATATGTAAGAATACAAGGCTTTTTGATTTTCTTGTCTACATACACTAGCAAGACAAACTGTACTGCTCCAGAGGTTAATATAATATATGCATAATACAGTATTCATTAAAATTAGAGGTATAGACGTCTAATCACAACTGTATTTACAAATCTTGTTTCATTCTCACTAAATTAATGCAGGTCCCTTACACAAAAAATACTTTTCTTTGCCACCTTCTAGCACTTAAGCAAAGAATAATAAATAATGAATGCTTTAATTTTGCTTACGTGTAAAGATTGTGGCATATTAATTGTTGTACAGTATATTAATGGTAGTTCTGGGCTTCAAAATGATAAAAAAGTGTTTATCAAATTGAAAAAGCTTTAATTAACAGCAAAAAAATATTAAATGGAAAATTTTACATTTGGAAGTCAGATTTGTCAGTAATATACTTTTTTTACATCACAGATAATTGGTGTGGAGATTGCTTTTCATTTGCTGCAACTTGTTCTGAAATCGGAGAATCAACATTGCGATCAATGTTCGACCTAGAATAATCCTCTTGTACAAGGAGAACAGGAATTAGTGACAGAGTTCCAGAGCTCAGGAGAACATAGGTCACCCACTTATAGCCTGGGGAAAAAAGAGACATGAAATGAGGTGTAATAAATACTGATACAGGTACAGACCACACTAGCACCATTATATGTATAAGAATATAGGGTGTAATGTTTTGTAATTGTGCACTATAATGTTAAATCACAATTTGGTCTTTCCTGTCAGTACTTAAATCCATACCTGGATGACATTTGAGCTGTGCCAGGAATAGATTTATGTATTATTAGCCAATATACAGTGCTTAATCGCTGTTCTTTGTCAAGTGTGTAGGCTAGTTGAGTAAACTAAAGAGAAGCTCCGAACATAAAAACTTAAAAGTTCAAGTTCAAGATAGAGGAATTGAACAAGTGTCCTCACTCTTAGAGTGAGTTGGCAAACAGTGTATTTCATGTCAATAGATCCAGTGACTCCCACTCAGTTCCCTCCTACTGTCCATGAAACCAAAAGAGTTGGTGGTTTTGTTCCATAAATTTTTGCATGCAAATGTATATTCAATGATAGGTTATAACATTTTACATGCAAGCTAGGTGACAATTTTAATGATGGCTGCTCTTTGTGGGTCAAGTCATTGAAAAAGAAGTCGTAGTAGTTGCATAGCTTGCATGTGTAATGCTACATAGCCTTCGTGGCTTGATGCTGTCTTTAATAATTACTTGCTTCTCAATAGGTAAAAAAAAGTGTGATTTACCAACTTATCAAGACTATGCAAGAAATAATTATTCCACCCCCTTAGGCTATTCTCTTAATCTCTGAGTAATGTTCTGTGTATTTTGCATTATGTTGCCCTGTTGTCTGTGTGGACTACATACAGTACTCGTCAAAAGAATGTGCCGCCCTGCATGAGGCAGCACATACTTATGACAAAAAGACTTAGTCTTGTGTGTGAGATGCTTGAGACAGAAGTATGCACCGGGTACACACACGATGTGCAGGTGTCTGCTAGCTCCCTGAAGCTGCACAGCTGGGAGGCTTAGTTGAACCCGGGCATTCATAGCTAGCAGTTGTGTTGCATGTCTTGCTCTGGCACCTTGCTGTGTTTTATCCCAGTTGACGGTGGTGTTGGTGCTGTATTGTTCTTATGTTGCCAAGTAAGCAAAGAAACCATTGCTCAGATTATTGCTTTATAGGACACGTGTCACCAAATGAGGTAAACGAGTTTGCTGGTCGGTGTGGCTAAGTTGATAGACACAAGTATTGTGCCTGTTTCAAAAGGTCATCCCTGAAAGACTTCATGTGATGGGATTCTAATGTTTCTAAATGTTCAATGAATGTTCCAATGAATGTTCAAGAGACCTTGGTCTCTTGAACATTCATTGGAACATTTAGAAACAGTAAACCTTTTATTTTAATATTTATAGTACACAATGAAACCAGTGTGACATTGATGAGAAAATCGGTAGAAGTCATGAGGAGGGTTCAAACCTGCTCACTTTGTACAGAACAGTACTCCCAAGGTAGTGCCTTCGACCACTATGCCACGACATGGCAAGAGCAATGCAACCTGGGATTCCACTGAATCCTCAAGGATTCCTGAGGGTTACAACTGAAGCCCAATAAGGGTTTTAAGCATTGTCCCTCATGCACTCTGGCTAATGGTCCAGTAGTTCTCCAATACATGTTGGAGAACTACTGAACCATTAGCCAGAGTGCACGGGGGACAATGTCTAAAACCCTTATTGAAAGGGTTTTCCCTTGGGAAAAGGGAAAGGGTTTTCAGTTGAAAACCCCAGGAATCCTAGAGGATTCAGTGGAATCCCAGGTTGCATTGCTCTTGCAGTGTCGTGGCATGGTGGTCGAGGGCTCTACCTTGGGAGTACTGTAATGTACAAAGTGAGCAGGTTTGAACCCTCCTCATGACTTCTACCGATTTTCTAATATTCCGAATCTTAAAATCACTTCCTGTGATACAAAGACAACTTGTGTCCTTACCTATGTCAGGAATTAGAAAGATGAAGAGGAATATCAGCCCAATAAAGTTCGAGACACCGGTGAGTAGGCCAGCAACAATAACCTCAGGGCAGGGATAAGCTCGCTCCACAGCCAACTCAAAGAATAGTGGAGCATTGGCAAAATTGGATGCCAGGCCAATCACCACCGAACAAAATATCTGCCCTGAAAAAAAAAAGTGAAGGCTGTTATTTGCTATATAAATACATTAGAGTATCTGCACTATTATTCTGCTTGATAAACATATTAACATTATAGTAATGAATATTTTAAGAATCTTGTAATGTTTAAATAACATAAGTCGGTATTCAGAGGTGAAAATTAACATACTGGTATACTGTACTTACCTTTTGTTACAGGGATGGTGCCCATTGTCAAGAGGTAGAACCAATAGAAACAAGACAAAGATATGATCATGAAAAACAGGAGAGACGCCTTGACGTGGCCGTAAACTAGATCTGTCATACGCCCCACCAACAGACCGGTCACTCCTTGCACCAACACAGCTGTGAGTCCTACCCACATAGCATTATCCTGAGGGAACATAATTATATTACAGTACAGTACTAGCCTTTTGTTTTGAAAAGAAAAAATTAGTTCTCAGCTTCTGTATTTATTTCATTCTTGAGTATTCTTGAGAATTGAACAATTATGCATTTATCTTATAACTACCGGTAAATAAATTGTATACAAAAACTGAAAATGCGTATTGGAAATTTATAAAATTTAAAAGATACTGCAAGTATAGTGTAACCGGTTGTTTGACTTAATTTAAGCAGATCATTAACACAAAACTGAAGACATACTTTGACAAATACTACTGTGTGGGATTAACAAATGTGAAAAACCTTTGCAGTGAATCTGTACTTGTCGAGATCTCAGTAAGTTGAATGGTGACCTTCACAAAAGGTAACCCACAACAGTTGCTTAACTGCCAGGTACCTATTTACTGCTAGGTGAACAGAGACATCAGGTGACAGGAAATGCTGACATTGAGTCACAATAATGTGGCTGAAGATATGACCAAACAACCCTTGAAAAGATAGAGGAAACAATGACATTTCGGTCAGTCCTGGACCGTTATCAAGTCGTGTGTGAGGAAGAGAGGAAGGAACAAGCCAATAAATAAGGAAAGAGTGAGGTGGGGAGCAGGTAAGAGAAAAAGGTAATTTTTAGAAGGCAATAGATAAGAATAGGAAGAAGGGTATGGATGTGATGAAGTAAGAATAGGAGGAAAATAAGACAAAGAAAAGTGGGGGAAGGAAAATAATCTTTCCTGCCTTTACTCTTCACAGATGCCAGCATGTCAAATTGGCTCTGATATCCAACATGAACTTTAATCCTGGGTTTGTTACTGTTGACTCTTCCCCTTCACAGTACATACTCAAATGCTCTAACCTTCTTAACAAATGTAACCCAATTTAAGCCTACCCCCCCTTTTTTTCTTACCACCCCTTTCTTATTTTCCTACTATTCTTACTTTATACCATTCTTCCTTCATCTCATCCTTATTCACCAGGTTCCAGGTCTTTCTGAACCAGGAACCAGATTCAAAGAAACCAAGGGCCCAGTGCCACCCAAGACTGTCCGAGACCAGACATATTAACCAAAAACTAGGCTGCCAAGACCTCTGAGCCTGAATATTAACCCACAACATGTTGGAGAAAACCGCAGGCCAGCTAGCTATGACAACACTGTGGACACCTGAAACACACGTTCCTTGGAACAAAGGACCAGGAGCTAACAAAATGGGCCAGATGCTCCACCCCCTTCAATGTCTGTCAAATGGGCGAACTGCAGAATGGCAATGATAAGCAGTAGAGAACCTCAGAAGGAAGTGCAAGGGCCCATAAATCTGACTCCACCAAGGGCCTACCCTGGCCAACTCCAGGTGAGGCCCCAACCCCATCGGACTGCCTCAAAAAAGCAGGGGTAGAAATATGATTAAATAAGAACCGACTGATAGGGCAAATTAGTAGTTGAAAATACCTGAAGGACAACCTCCTCAGAATTGAGGAGATAGGAAATGGGAGGTGAACAAAAGGGATTAAGGACCAGGCTGGATCTAAAGACAGGGCTAGCACAGCCTGCTAACACAGGAGGCTAAGTAAAAAAGCCCCCCCACCACCTCCCAAAGAACGAAGGTGAGCAACGTAGGCAAGACTGCCAAAGCCAGCACTGCAGGAAATACCAACCCCACACCTGGGAGCAAATCTACACCATCATGGAGCTTGTCATAAAATCCTTCATGACAGCCAAAAAAATCTATGACTGTCACAAAGTGAGAATGAGCCAAGATCAACAATAATAAGGGCTCCAAAAGCACATGCAGCTGCACTTGGAACTGTCAATTGCCTACAAGCAGAGAACAAGAAGAGCTGCTCACAATCACCTGAAGACAGAAATCACTTCCTCCCAGTCAAGTGTTCAGGTTTAACAGGACACATACCAAGCTCCCAAGGTAAAAAGAGAGAGGGTTGTCAGCAAGCCAGGAAAAACTGGGACCTCATAACTTAGTCAATAAGTCAAAGCAGGCTGGTACTCAAATAAGGTCAGGTCCAGCAATGAAGTGAGGTCCAAATTCTACAGGAGATACAGAAATAGGGCTACACAAGCTGCACAAACGTCCAGAAATAAGACAAGTCCACTGAACAAAATTGAACCCTGGGGAAAGCTGCCAAGTAACCAAACTCATACAATGAAGTGGAGATAGAAATAATGATACCCAGGAGCAAAATTCTTTTTGCTAAAGGAATGAAGGTCCAAGACAGAATAAAGGGCACTCACAGATCCTTCTCAGGCTCTTCCCTAGCCCCAAAAGCTAGCCATGTTGACCCTGGGGCAGAGATCCATTCCATGCTTATGACAGAAAGGCAGCATCTAAAAAAAAAAGAATCAATGGAGCTGAAAAGCTGACCTAACCTAACCTTGCAAATGTGAAGTCTTCGTATCCCTGGCAGGAAGAGACAGCTCAACTGCTGCCACTGTCAAAGTGAATAGGGCCACCCCTGGAGAAGGCCAAGCCACATCCCAAACTAGACCCTGCCTCGACTCCAAAACTCGCAGATGCTGTAAAGCCAGAACCATCAGGGGAAAGAGATCAGAAGCAAGGTGAACCACACCTGCAGGGAAAAGGAAGAACACTTAGGCCAGTTGGAGTTCACCAACAGTTCCAATTCCAGGTCCCTAAACACCATAAGACATAAACATAGCATCCAAAAGAACACCTGCAGTAAATCTTAAATACTGTATGGGAAAACCTTGCCCATAAAGTGGCAGCTGCCTGACAAGCTTCCTGTCAAGAAACAGGCTCAGATGAAAAGTAGACCCAATGCACACACATTGCAGAACTCTATTGACTCATTAACCTAATGGGTATCATTGCAGAGGCAGAGAGAATGACTGTCATCCAGTAGCAGGACCAACGAGTACCTTTCAAACGTGCATGGCACGAGTGTGAACTCAACAGGTCGATTCAAAACAAGCCACATTGTAGACCCACAGGGAAATTATGCTAGTGCAGCCCACACAGCCAAATAGGAAATCCCCCCAGCTGAGGGCCAACACAGAAGAGTCAACAACTAGTGCACTGCCCAAAGCTAGGCTCCTGCCCCAGCAATCAGACTCCCAAACACATCATGAAAGAAATTCAGTTGGTGCAGGAGCAATGATAAATAAGCACCTGGGGAGTGATCACCCTGAACATATGTAGCTCAAAGAGTAAAAATTGCCAGTTCTGCATGAAATTGCCAAGAAATAAATATGTACATGAAGCAAATACTTAAAGAAAAACAATAAATTAGCAAGTGGCCTGTGCAGAAGTCCAAAGGATGGCTGGCATTTAGCCGAGAAGCAGTGGGACCCACTGTGACAGTCAATGATCCAAGAAGCACATTACTGGATTCAACCTCATCACCAAAAGGATTGAGGTTGGAGCCAGCTGTTGGTTGGGGCTGCGTGGTGGCAGACATTGGTACTAACCAGTTCAAACTATTTCAGGTGAACCAAATTTTTGGATTGAATTGTTTGGGGAGCTATTTGGCTGTTTCAGTGCTTCATTTTCTATAACCCTGGCGGTTGTCTTTAAAGCTTCACTGATTTTATGGACGTTTTCCTGGTGAGGGTGACAATAACCATTCCCTGTGTCTTGTGCCTCTGTGAGGGGAAGGGGGGGAGGACAGGTTCTGGCTCTGGTCACCAGTAGGCCCAAACAGGACTCCTGCAACTGATGTGACCCAGTAGTGGAGAGCCATCTTGGTGAGGTAGCTTCAGAGTCACCAAGTGAGATCCTACCAGAATAAATACTTAATAAACTAGTCACTAGGAAGTAACCAATCCATGGGTCATCATTGCCCCTAAATCAACAATACCAATGACTGTTAATTTAATAAAAACTCAGCATACCTGATCAATTCCCATATCACTAAGAGAATAGTTGAGAACAGAGAGCCAGGTCGCAGGTATTGATATGCAGACGCTGTATGCAATTGTTGTCAGCAATACATTTCGATTTCTGAAAACATGAAGAATCATAAGAATAACAATTGTAATCCCATGACTAAAACAGTCACAACAAATTCATAAATTACAAATGAAAATTAGATGCCGTTTTGGTACAGTTTGGGCCAACATCACGTTGCAAGTCCACGAGTACCAAAATAATACAAAATTTCCTTCTAATTTATGGGCTTGTTGAGCAGAATATTGTCACAACTTGCACTTTATTAATAATATATGATATGACAATACTTACACAAATTCTATATTATGGCTCTACAGTATTTATATACTTAAAATTTCAACCACATTATAGTACAGTATTTATCTATGAAATGCTTAATGAGCCCATAGTAATGAATCATCGTTTTAAAATTCTATTGCAGAATGATGGGTAAATTTTATTTCTTTTATAGTTACTGTAATGTATTTTCTGATCCTTTAGCCTCTGAGCACCTAATACTAATCAGGATTATTTCCACTGCCTTCATGGTAGCCATTACTTAAAAATGTGACAACATGAAAATTTCTACATTTTTTTTCTTTACTTCAAAAAGATTTTCAATCATTTAATACTGTAATCGTATTTACATCAAGCATATTAAATTTCTAAGGTAAGTACTGTATTACATTATAATACCTCATTAACTTCTTTAAACTGGATTTAAAATTCAGTCTTTGCACCGAAGATGTGACGGACGGAGGCGTGGGAGGCTTTGTAGGGAAGTACACCAGGATAGCTATCAGCAATGTCACCCCAACGGCAGCATCTGCAGAGAATAGGCTGTTACAGCAAGTACAGTACTGTTCATATGAACGGAGAATCTATGAACTACATATTGTGAGAATACTGAGGTACACGATTACATATGTTGACACAAACACCATTAACCTGCCAGTATTGTGTCACATTCTAACTCGGACAACTAAAACATGAGAAGAACAAAGGTCAACAAACAGCTACTATACTTTTCAATGTATTAATGAATAATTAGCTAAAGCACTATGTGTGTTACCAACTGTTGATGAATTTATACAATTTATATCTGTTTAAAATAAAAATACTCGATAACATGCAGCTTATATGTCACTGCTCTGAAAGCCAAAATCTTCAGTAGCAAACACAGATCTCATATTCTACGGTGGCTCAAAACTACACCTTTTTTTGCAATTGGTCCATTAAATAACATTGCAATAATAACTTACAAATGTATAAAAGTGTCTTGATATCACTTTTAATCTGGTCCTTGGTCGCACCAGAATTTGGAGACCGGACCAATAGAGGCGTCAGGTAGCTCCCTGCTGTCCCCAGCTGGTTCATAACTTGCGATACGGCTGTTCAGGAAAATCTATTATGAGAAAATATACATGTCCACAATATCCATTTCAATTCACTTCCCTCATCAATCATGTCTTCAATGTCAAGTGGGAGTCTTGTTTTACTCTTAAATGCTGCCACCACCTTCATTGTCAAGTGATCAAATTAAGTATATGGTATTCATGATTTATTAGTATAATGACAAAAGGTGACAGCTGATTTAGATGCAATGATGAGGTTACCTGTGGCTGTAGTTCTCTCCTTGGGCGGGAACCACTCTGCTGCAATCATTGGTGGAGCAGACATGATTAGGGTCCCTGCAATTCCATTCAGTATGGCTGCAATGTGGCACATTCTGTACAGTATTAAAAGTGTATTAACTAATACAAGTCAATTCTACATTATACTCAAATACAGTACAGTATACAATGCAACAAATTATTCTCAAGCCCAGACAATATAAAGTGGTTACATAAAAATGTGACTTGGTTTATGCCCAAATTTTGAACTTATTGGCACGAGATACAGTACCTAATTCCTACCATACACTTTTAATAACATAACAAAAATGAATACATCATCAGTGTACAAATTAACTCTAATATCTCTCCCTTGCATATGCTTTATTAATTCACTTCAAATCCATTGCCTGTTTGACATAATATACCAGAATGTTTTAACTTTGTGCATAAATTGATTTGATTTCTCACATACAAATTATTGTAATTTTTACATTTATCAGAACATACTATACATTTTTTTTTACTATTTGATTATTTATTTGCACTGCAATAAATGAAAATCCTGCCACTCATTTAACCTATTTGAGATTGGTTTGTAATACATAATAAATTCCATAAGATGTGTCTGGAAATAATATCAGATTGTTTCTCACATATTATCCTTGAATGCTATCAGATATTTATCTCTGCCAAATATCTGTTGATAAATGGGAGGTACAGCATTTGAAAACCCTGTAATGTACAGAAAGGTTGAGATATCTTTCTAATCTGAATTACATGCAAATTATAGTGACCCCAGTTACCAATATATAAAAATTTTATATAAAAATCAATTTAATCAATTTGCTAGCAACTTACACTGTGAAGAACTTATCAGAATCAGCCATAAAGGGGAGAATTCTGGCGATTGTTGCACTAGCAACCAGCACAGCACAAGTGACCACACCTGCACGCAACCCTTTGGTGCTCATCAGCCAGCACATGGGTGCAATGCACGATGCAAACATTATTGAGCCCCAGTTGGCCATCATGGCCACGGTCCCAGAGCCCCAGCCTTCAAACGCTGCATCAACACTCGCACTAATAGGACCCCAAATGGACCACTGAACACACTGAAACAAAAGGCTGGTGTAACACATCATGAGCAGTACAAGTGTTGAGGACTGTAATTTTGCTGAGTACTGTGTAATGTTACCAGGTGCTTTGTAAGGTTGTCAAGTACTGTGCAAAGGTGCTGAGTTATGAAATGTTCCCGAGTACTGTTCATGAGAACTATGCAATGATTTTTAATCGTATGCAATATTTCAAAGAATACTTCAATCTTGCAGAGTACTGTACTGTACCAGTTTATTGGCAAATACTGTGTAACTGGTGAGTACTGTGTTATATTGTTGAGCAATATGTTATGCTGCTGAATACTAATCACAATACAGTACCTTATGATTTCTAACTTGCTACAACAGCTCCTCTCCATCTTAAGATGGTAGTTTGGCAGGTTACCTTGCAATGGTTTTGGGGCTCCACATCCCAGCGGCCCAGTCTCTGACCATGGTTCCTGGTGGCTGGACTCGTCAACCAGGCTGTTGGACGCAGCTGTTCGCAGCCTGACGTATGAATCAGAGCCTGGTTCATCAGGTATCCTTTGGAGATGTTTATCAAATTTTCTCATGAACACTGTGAGGGGTCAGGCGGTAATGCCCCTAATGTGTAGTGGAAGCATGTTGAACAGTCTCGGGCCTCTGATGTTGATAGGGTTCTCTCTCAAGTACTGTACCTGTTGCTCCTCTGCTATTCAACAAGGGGTAATCTGCATATCCTGCCATGCCTTTTGGTCTCATGTGGTGTTATTTCTATGTGCAGGTTTGGGACCAGCCCTTCTAATATTTTCCATGCATAAATTATTATGTATCTGTCCTGCCTGCACTCAAGAGAATATAGTTTTAGGCCTTTTAGTCAGCCCCAATATTTTAGAAGTTTTACCGAGTGAATTTTAGAAGTTATGGATCTCTGCATGCTCTCCAGGCCAGCAATTTCTCCAGCTTTGAAAGGGGCTGTCATTGTGCAGCGGTATTCCACTCTAGAAAGCACTAGCATCTTGAAAAGTATCATCATTGTATAGCATCTCTAGAGTGAAAGGTTCATGTTATCAAACCTGTCATTTCTTGCAGTTGTGACGGCTACTTTATTGTGTTCTTTAAAGGTAAGGCCTTCCAACATGAGCATGTACACCCAAATCCTTTACATTGCCTTTTCATTCTATAGTATGATTTGACTGTTTCGTACGTGGTTTCCGATTTTATATTTTAATTTTTTCCCATAATGCAGGAGCTGGAACTTATCTTCATTAAATACCATATTATTTTCTGTAGCCCATTGAAAGACCTGATTTACATCTGACTGGAGGTTGCTGTGTCCTCCATGTTGTGTACTCCCATAAAAATCCTAGTTTCATCTGCAAAGGATGATACGGTACCATAGTTTGTGTTCTTGTCTATGTCTGATATGAGAATGAGAAAAAGTACTGGAGCAAGCACAGTACCCTGGGGGACTAAACTCTTCATGGGTGATGGTCAGGATTTTATTTTGTTGACTATTACACATTAAGTTCTGTTAGTCAGAAAATTGTAGATCCATCTACCTATTTTTCTGGTAATTCATTTTGAATGCATTTTGTGTGCAATAACAGCATGGTAACATTTGTTGAAGGCTTTTGCGAAATCTGTAAATTACATCAGTGTTTTGGTTATCTTCCATGACATGTAAGGCCATGTCATAGTGGTCCAGCAACTCTGATAGGCAAGAGCACCCTGTTCTGAAAACATGTTGTCCAGGGTTATAGAGATGCTGTGATTCTATGTATTTTGTGATCTTACTTCTTAGCACTCGTTGAAAGATTTATATGATGTGCGATGTTAGTGCTATCGCTCTGTAATTTTTTGCTTCTGCTTTATTTCCTCCTTTATGGAGTGGTGCAATCTCTGCTGTTTTTAGTATGTCAGGGATAATGCCATTACAGTATTTAGCCTCTGTCTCCAAAGAATGTGGAGGGCCTGCGATAGTGATTTTTTACAGTTCTTGATGCATATAGAGTTCCAAGAATCAGGGCCTGGTGCAGAGTGCATAGGCATACTGTCTATTGTTTCTTCAAAATCCAGTGGGGATAGGGTGACATCTGATACATGATTTGATGATGGTATCACAACAATAAAAAATTCATTTGGGTTATCAATCTTCAGTGTGTTTAGTGGCTCGCTGACTTTTTACCACCCATTTATTTTCTGCAAAATGCAGTTATAATGCCATGGGGCTACCTTCCTGTCCCCCTGTGAGCCTACTATAGATCGCTGCCCTGGGAAAAATTAAGATATTTCTTGTTTAGGAAATGGTACAACACCTGTATAAAAACTAACCTGGAACCATGCCAAAAACGAAAATACTCCCAGAATCCAGAAACGGCTCGGGTAAACCTTCTTTCCATCACCCCTGTCTGCACTACTTCCTCCTGAAAATTAAATTTATTTCTGTGTCAATATCAAGTAAATAACACTCCACAGGATAGATGCCTACACCTGTGGATAACTTTTTTATCAGAAAAAATGTATTAAAATATCACATACACTTTTGTATTCCTTCTCATACTCTTTTTCTCTTCATATACACACACGGTATTCCTGATACTGTAAAAGCCACCGTTTTGCATTCCATACCTCCCATACATTTCTTGATACAACTACAGTACATTCCATGATCCAGAGCTGTCAAGCACACCCAACTCTTAGCTCACAAATGCTGTAGTAATTTATAACAATTCCACAATCACATAAAATCAGCCACTCTGCCTGTACATTCATAGACTGAGAATAAACAAGCCACTCATGTACACTTATATAGTGTGTGTACTTGATAATGGTCCCTGATGGACCAAAACGTCGTTTCCTTCATAATCTGGTGTGTGGATTAATCTTCATATCTTCAGCCATTAGTTATTGTTACTCATCGTCTGCTTATATAGAAACAATAAATAAACCAACCACTCTTGCCTGTACCCTCATAGAGTGTGAATAAACTACTCTTCCTGTACTCACAGAGAAAATAAACCAGCCACTCCACCTGTTCATTTATAAACAGAATAAACCAGCCACAACACATGTACACTTGTAAAGTATAAATCAACCCCTCCACAAAACATTCTTGGCGAGAGAGAGAGAGAAAAGACACAGAAGAAACATCACCAAAGGTAAAATAAAGGTAATTATCAGGAGAAAGCACTAAGCCATTCCCTGGAAACCCAAACAGAAACCGTCTCTATTTTCTGCTTGTTACAACTTGTAATAAAGTTGTTACATCTTGGCTTAACATGTTTATGACGTATTAGAACGTTGCTACAACTTGCTAAATTGGTTGTTATAACTGGTTAGGAGGTGTTAATACTTGTTCAAACGTTGTACCAACGTCGTAGTTTCGGTGTGTGTTTGGTGGGTTATGACTACAGTATATAGCACTTGGAAGGGATCAGGATAATGATTTAGGATAGGATGGATGGAAGAATAGTGCCCAACCACGTGGACGGTCAGGGATTGAACATTGATGTGCAAGAAGCGAGACTGTCACTATACCATCCAGTCCAAGTGGTCAGCAAGCCACTCTGCCTGTATGCTCATAGACTGAAAATAAAGCAGCCATTCCTTATGTACACAGGTATAGAGAAAATTTATGTAGTTGTAACATTACAACAAAACTAAGCAGTAAAATATAGTGTGTTAATACCAGTAATCCTTATTACAGTATATAAGTATCTTCATTTGGTCTGGCCGTTCATTAATTAGTTTTCATTCCGACTCCAACTTCAACCTCACTCCCATTCAACCCAAACAGGTGCACTTGTCTCCAAAATGCCATGGCAGGTGTTTTGTCAATGTTGTCAATGTTGTCAATTTGTCAATGTTAATTTTATGTAGATACTGTAATAAACGAAAGTTTTTAATGTCATCAGAGAAACAGAAATATAGGCAAATTTTAAATCCCTTGTCATAAATATAACTGAAGTGAAAGCAAAGATATATGCATTTTGATAGTTACAAAGACAGCTCTTTAACACGGGTGGAACACGAACAAGGGGAACTTAGTACCCAAATGAGCCACAGAGATATTAGAAAGAATTTTTTCAGTGTCAGAGTAGTTAACAAATGGAATGTATTAAGCAGTGATGTGGTGGAGGCTGACTCCATACACAATTTCAAATGTAGATGTGATAGAGGCCAATAGGCTCAGGAACCTGTACACCTGTTGATTGACGGTTGAGAGTCGGGACCAAAGAACCAAAGCTCAACCCCTGCAAGCACAAATTAGGTGAGTACAACTAGGTGAATACAGCTGAGGGGCGGGACCAAACAGATGAAGCTCAATTCCCTACGCATAACTAGGCGAGTCCATAGGCATTACCGTTTGTCCTGGCGCCATCTATGTTTTGACAGCAGTACTACTAATGTTCCCACGTTATGTGATGATCGCTATACGGGTGTTTCGGTCAGTTGCTCTTCTATATATGTTTATGGACAACGTAGGTGATTTGAGGCAATTTGCGGCCAGAGTGAAATAGTATCCACGCGGTGAGTGATGGAGGAGGATATATACTGCTGTGTCCTCGACCAGCGGGTGAGTTTAAGTCTTTATTTACTAAAGTGGAACATTACATTATGCCTTTAGCTGAACAAGTCTACTGGTGGGGGGAAGTAGACGGGTTTTATGAAAGTATTTTACCTAAATATTTGTATTTGGTTAACTAGTTCAGCCGTTACCAGGGAGGGTGTTCCTTTAATGTAATCTAAAAATTCTAGCCGGACAAAGTGATTAAATAAATTGAATAGAACGAAGTGGTTTGCCAGAGTGCTTAACATTTAGTTTAGTTCACTTACTATGCAGCCCATGCTTAAAGAATGTAAGTTTATCATATTGAATTTACCGTAGTTTTACTGCACTTAATATACCGTTTTTACCCTATTGTCGGGTAAAGGCCGGTCGTGGAAAGTTCCTAATATAGCAAGTTTTAAAGGAAAAGTTTGAGTTAACTTTAACGTTTAAGTTAGTGACCAATTAGCTTAGTCTATTGTGAGGAAAGTTACTAGAATCTAACATTGCAAGTGCCATTTCTCTACTCTTTTTGAGAAACATGACTAGATACGTGAATCGCATAGTTTTATTACTAAATGTTCATGGATTAGGTTGCATAGTTCAGGAAATGGTGATAAGGTTTGTGATTTTGTGTACCTTGACTTCAGCAAAGATTTTGATAGTGGCGCAAAATTGATAGGGGCTCGGATCATTGGGAATGCTGACTGAAGTTGATTAGGTCATGGCTATACCAAAGGAAATTAGTATAAATGGGGTTAAGTTGGGAGAAGTGTGGCAAGTAGTGCCTAAAAGCTCTCCTTGGACCTCGGTTATTCGCAAGATTATGGTTTAGACTGCAATAGTTGCAGAATTGGCAAATAAAAAATACAGATGCCCTATATAGTTTTGAAATGGTTAAGACTACCAGATGCAGTTTAATGCTGACAAATGTCAGGTTTGGGGGCTAGGTAAAGATGAGATAGATGTTGTATATTGTTAAGAGTATTAAATTTTTTGCAGGTGGTAAATTCTCCCCAAGCTGGCACTGCTCTCCAGCCTGGAATGTTGATTGGTTAGTCTTCAACTGCCTCCCAACATGGTAGTGAGGTCCTGAGCTGACGTGCAGTGAGGAACGTGGAAAGCTTCCTGAATTGGCACATGGTATGCCTCCCTTTCAAACCAGCAGCTGGCACAAATGTTCCAACTAACATCAGAATAGTGGATGAAGCCCACACTAAAATGTAAGTGGTATAGTAAATGGACAACCCCCCCCCCCCCCCTCTTGACACTGAACAGTTGGGAGGAAGGGGGGGGGGAGACAGTGTGGCTTATAGTTCTATTGCTACAGAATCTTTTGCCATAAGCCAGTGGCAGTGTATATTGGCACTTGCTATTCAGAATCTCCCCCTTACATAGTTAATTAAAAAAGAAATGCTGTAGACAAGCTTAACTTTTGAAGGGGGCAACATTTTCGTTGCCATCAAAGCACATCAAAGATGCTCTGAGTAGCTCTAACTCTCTAGTAGGAACTTTAATGCCATTAGAATCCATGCACTTCTGCTGTATCTGCCAGTTTGCTAGAAATTGAAATTGGCATACTTGCTCAGCAAGTACTTGCCCTCTTGTACCATGTTACTCAACCATAACATAACCACCACACCACCCATTCTTCTAAAATAACATCCCATATGATAAACTTCTGCTTTTAATAAATATTTCTAACTTTAATATTAGTTGGCTTGCATGGTGTTAATCATTCCTTTGGCAGAACTGTAGCTAAATTGTTCCCACAAAACAATCCATTAACAGTACTGTATCGGGTTCATAAAGAAATTTATAATAAAGACCAAGTGTGGTCATAAGTGCTGCAGATGGGGGAGATAGAACCTTACACCTGCAGAAGTGTGGTGATAACTGGAGAGAATATGGCCTTGTATAGTTGCTAGTGTAAAAATATTACTAAATTTAGTAAAATCACATTGTCTTGGTAGTATAGTTGGGTTATGAATTTTAAGACTAAAAAGCTTGGTACATAATTCAACACAATAAATTTGTCCCCCTAGTAGTAAGCAGTGGTTGCAAAAGAATAAGAATTTGTATATATAAATTTTGTATTGCTTTTATTCAAATGTTAAACATGGTTGTTAAATTAAAGTTTGTTTGAAATGTTCCAGAAAAATGTTAATGACTAAAGTTGTTGGAAAATAAAATTTGCATAGGATGTTGACTTGAAATGACTATAGCTTTGTTTGTAATAAAGATGGGACAACAAGATACTTAGTGTGCCATTTAAAACGGCAACTGTTAAACAGGTGGTACAGGTATGAACAAAATAACGTTGCTATGCAAGTAACTTTTTAGTAATATTTACTGTTCACATGACAGGTTGTGGAAGGTCCTGGCAACAAAGAGCTGCAGGAAAATACTTGCAGATCTACAGTAAGTAGTGTTGTGTACATTGGAATTAGAGGGTAGAAGTTAATTGCTAAAAACTTATTAAATACTAGGGTATGGAAGTCTAGGCTTAGGCTAGTGGGGTACCATATTTGCAAGTTTAGTCCTTTCAGGAATGTATTGAATAGAATGGCATGTTGAAATTGTTAAAATTGTAATGTGGGGCATTAGATCTTAAACAGCATAGTTGAGGGTGTTTAATAAAATTTTAATGAAATATAAATCTTTAGTTAACATTAAATGTATAACACTGTTAAGGGTAATCATGAGTCAAATAAAGTTAATGGCAGGAAAAGTTTTGTTCTAAGTGATGGCATTTTTCCCTTGAAAGTAAAAAAAAAATATTCAATGTTTACTTTAGCTTTGGTTTTAAATTTATATAGTTTTCCAGAATGTGTGTTTGGAAAGTCCAGAAGTCTGTCAGAAGTTAATTGCTTC